GCGGCGAATATCAAGAAAATTTGGCTATAAATTGTGACTTCATTAAAGAAGGCATGAAGATATTTAAAAGTTAAAATTTTAATTGTCTTTCCTCGCCACTGTCGAAAAAAATAAATTTTTCCTTGTTTTACACTAAAGTGTATCATACAATGCATAAAATGCCAACCGCAGAGTGCTTAAAATTGTCTTTATCTCGAGGTGCGACCGATCCTCCATCCGTAATCGTGAACGTGCAGTGGATAAGTAAGGTATCGATTAAATTTTAGCTGAAATTTTAAAGTGGAAAATGTCTACAATAGTAACTGCTAGCCTCGTCAAGTAAGCACTTATATTTAAAGGCAATGCGTTGTGAGTTCTGGACAATCGGTAGGCAGGCCAAACAATTTCTTGAGGCCTCAGAAATGTGGTTAAACAGAACAATGCTTAAAATACCTTGGGCAGCGCCCCCCTCCCCCCCCCCTCAAGCAAGAGGTTTTGAAAGAGGCGTGAGACCGAAGACAACTAATCACAGACATCAGAAGGAGACAGTCATCATTTTTCGTCTATTTTATGAGAAGAAGGACAATGGAACATGTGGTTGACCACTGGAAAGATCTGTTGAAGGAGGGATAGATGAAGACAACGAGAGAAGATTCTTGACAGTCTTGTTGCATAGCATGGAGGTGTGTCAGCACACGAACTAATACATGCTGCGGTAGATCGCAGATTTTGACGAGGCATAATCGCCCACGCCAGTCGGCAAGGCATCTGATGATGATGATGATGATGAAACACTATTCGTATTCGGCAGAATAGTTGGTCCCGCTATTCGTATTCGGCAGAATAGTGAAAATCACTATTCGTTATAGCCCTAACAGGTATTATCATCTGATTAGTTTTCATTATACAGTGGATATATAATGAAATATATCATGGATATCCAGAAATTGTGATTGGTGGCCATAATATAAACAACTTGCGTTATGCTGATGACCCTGTCTTGGTAGTGACAAGTCAGAAAGACTTAAAAGGGATCAGTAAATACGGTGATGGTGGATAGTGATAAAATGGGCCTCAGCTTAAATAATGGGAAGTCAGAAGTAACGGTGATTGTCAAGAAAAGAATGGTGCCTGATGTGTAATAGTCAGAGGTTTTTTTTTTTTTTTATGACAAGTATGGAAATTTAGTATATAGGCACATGGATAACATCTGGCGGAAGATATATCCCAGAGGATCACCGTGGAGAGGTCCCAGAAACTGCGTTCAGCCTTTAGACCATATTTATGGCCAGGCTATACTGCGGCCCCCGGCAAAAACCAGAGTAGGGCTTCAATAAAGAAAAATTTCATCCTGAAAAGGACGAGAATGATTTATAGCAACATCAAACCAGCAGGACTGACTGACTGACGTTCTACCGCACCAGGACATCACATAAGCGATAAACACCCGATGACACAAAGTGCCACCATTTGGATGAGGATCACAGTGGAGAGGTCCCAGAAACCGCGTTCAGACAATTTTGCCATATTTATGGCCTGCCTATATTGCGGCCCCTGGCAAAATTATGAGGGGAAGCCAATAAGTAAGTTACAAATGGTTGTTTAAAAACCAAATGACAATAGCAACTTGAAAACCTTTTTTTTTTTTTTTTTTTTTTACATACACTGTTCCTTTTTTTTTTTTTTTAAACACAATTTCCACCAACATGGATGCACTTGCCCCATTGTTTTATTAGTCCTCCCAAACCTGCAGCACAGAACTGCGTGCATTGTTTTCAAAACCACTTTTCACTTCACAATCAACTTCTGCATCATTCACGAAATGTCTCCCGCCAAGGTGGGTTTTCGATCATGCTTTATGTTGTATGCTGAACCTGTGAGCACCCTACTGCAGCTGCTACAGAGCCAACTGTTACTTGCCTGTCACCTCTAATCATCGCCTTCCCCCGCTGCACGAATGCGTCTGTTGCAATCTCAAAAGGACGATCAGTTCGAACTTCATCAACAATTTTGGAGCGTCCTTGAGAAATAATTGTTTACCCAGTTAGGCACCCCTTTACAGGATAAACATTTGTCAGCATAAACAGGAAGCATTTCCTTATGAATGTCGTTTGCAGGCAGCCCTTTTGCCCACAAAAAGCGCACAACAGCCTGTTGTTCTTTGAGGGTACACTCCGTAAATAGTCGCCATTTTGTTTCTCAGTTGTAAATGCGCATGCAACACCTAGTGCCATCTAACGAACAAAGTTCGATTCGCTGTCACCTTTGGAAACCACCAGCTACATTCGTATGCCATCCTATTACCATTTGTGACTTACCTATTGACTTCCCATCGTAGAATGTTGAATGAGTCAAGAATTGACACCGCAGCTAACGGGACATTTCCACACGTGCTCCGTCCCCTTCTTCAGTAGCTAACAATGAATTGACATGCTAATAGTACCAGTTGCACCTGATTAAAAGGCCCTACATGTCTTCAAGTTCCTCTGCTCATCCCCCATTGAATGAGTCAGTCAATGTCTGGATTTGCTGTCTGTTCTATTGCATTGTCCAAATGATCCGAGGGAGCCTTCTCCATATCCGTTTCCATTATAAAGTAGCTCACCGCCCAGAGGTACAGCAGTGGCTAATCTCTCTCTCTGTGCTGACAGCTGTATTTGACATCCCTAAAACGGCATCAGATAATGCCTACTTTGGGAAGCATTGACGTAGTAATTAATCTCCAGCTACAGACATAAGGGTGGAAGTTGAAAACAGATTTACCAAAGGAATTATAGTGCCTAATTCTCAGTCTGTATTGCGTTAAGATCAAAAACGTCCCCATCTTCAGTAGCAAGCGAAGAATTCTAATGGTACCAGTAACTGACTGACTGTATGTATATCCGTCTCGCCTTTCCTTGGGTGTTGAGCGTCGGTCTGATCCCCTGGTAACTCCTCGCAGCACCATTATCCTCAGACCATAATGATTCATTTGTGCCTCCGCTCTGTTCACTTGATCCCAAACGGTGCTCACAACATCAAGCTTGTCATACATCAATTCATCACCAAGTCTGCCAGTCTGCTAGTTTTCCAAAACACCGGGCATGACCTGGAGAAAATAATCAGAAAAGGTTAACTACCACGGACCTCTGAAGTTATGCTTGCCACTCTGTATTGAGCAAGTCTGTCTCCGCCTTTCTCAACATGCTATGTAAGTCGGTTACAATTATGACATGTGTGTACATCTCATTGTTAAGGCAGCAATTACTGTCCCCACCTCCATTCTCAAACTAGATGTTGTTAAATCTTATGTCAGGCTTTGCTATGATCCCCTTTGCACTTCGTCTACCTCTCAACACAAAGCCATTTGAGTAGATAATTACATCACCTGGGCGAGAATTGTTGCGAATCATTTGTTGAACTTTTGATTCTGCAGCACCAGCTGGCCAGTCCCTGCACTCATGACCTAAAGTCATTAGAACCCAAGACAATTCTTGCTTTGACCCACTAATCTCCTCGACCTGGAAATTGTATCATCAGCCGGCGCCACCTAAGACCTCCCTCTTTTCATGGGCTTCATGCAGGGGTGCTTCTTGTCTGCAGTTACTCTGAGATATGACTTTGCTTGCCGAACTTTCAGCCTATATGCAAAAGTAGGCAGTGCAAGTATGTATCGAATACATACTACCGGGGTATCTCTTGTACATCCTAGAATTACCCACATAGCTTAAATCTGTATGCGTTCAAGTTTCATCAGCTGACTTTCATAGGGTAAGCTTTGCAAGTCCATAATCTATCACCAAGAGGATCACTTGCTGGAACATTGTGAACAGCCTCTGTGTTCCATGTCAATTGCCGCCATAGTCTTAAGAACATTGATGGGTTTTTTTTTTTTTTTTTTGTCACATTTTACCGCAACTGCCTCCACATGATCTCTGAAGGACAGGCTTCTATCGAAAATAACGCACAGGTAAATCATTTTGCTTTCTCTTTTGATGTTTCTGTTATTACCTGTGAGGCTTGGAACATTACCTCTTACAAAGATGGACAAAATCAAAACAGACGAATGTTTCGGGAGTGTCCAGCAATCACCAGCACGTCTATATAAGAGGAGCTTGCATCTACGAATGGGGCAGTTCGTAGGAACACTCAAATGTGTCTCATTTGGAAGACAGTTTATGAACGAATGCTAATGGGAGACACGATGTTACTTGAAATAATATGTACAAGTTTATGTTAGTTAGTTAGTTAGTCGACAGATTATCCTAATTGCACACTGAACCATTCAGTTCACAGATAAATTAGTACGATGTTATGTGACTGATTGATTGATGTTCAACCCCACTAGGACATCACACTGAGCCATAAACACCCAGTGACACAAAGTGCCACCATTCGGATAAGGATAGCTGGGGGAGAGATCCCAGAAACCCAGTTCAACCGTTAGGTTATGTTAGGGCCCCCTGCAACAACCATGGTAGAAATTCGTCCCACAGGGGAGCGGAAAGTATACCCAGGTGTGCAGCGAAAGTATGCCTGGGGTGTCGCGACAATAATCAATAATTTTTCAAAATATGCTTGAGATCAGCGAAGCCAGCATTTTAAAACAAAAACAGCGAAAGAAGCAAAGAAGACATGGATGAAAGAGTTTTCAGAAGACTATGCTATTGGCAAGGCTTCAGTACATTTTCAACATACGCTTAAAAAAAAAAAAACAGATACAGGGGCAAACTTTCTGGGTCAAGTGATTTGAGGGTAAATCTAAACTTCCCATGTACATAAATAACATAATTAAAAATTAATCCAAACACTTTCATTCATGGCATTAGAGACACTGAAGATTAATTGTGCATTGTTTCTTGACATCTTTTCCTAAGTATCCAAACTGCTTTATTAAGGGCAGATGTGCCTCACAATTATTCTTTTGCCCTACATGGCTGCCCCGGCGAAAAAACAACGTTTGAGAAGCGCTGCACTAGGGCGTTCTTGTGACTCTTCTTGCGAAAAGTTAGACTTGCTATAAATTGGTCATATGATCGAAAATGGCCGCGATGTTCGCAGCGTCTGCTAGGTAAAGATAAACGATATCAACGGGGTTTATGTCCTTGAAGTACTTTATAATAATATTAACAAGTGAATACAGCTGATTGTTATTTAATTATTATTTAAATGCATTACCACATCTAAATTTTAGTGCAAAATATGAATACATATATGAACACAAGCTAGTGAGAACATGAAATAAAGGAATTAATCTGGCAATCACGTTAGTCGTTACCTACCTACGACTATGGACTACGAGAAATGTTTTAAAATTGTAGGTTTATATCATAATAATTGATAGTATTATAGTTTTATAATTCTGAAACATTATGAGCAGGCAAAGACCGTCCAGTTTGTTTTGTCTTGGGGAGTCACGTGCTCGATTTGTACTTGCCAATTCTAAGTGTAGTTTCCGGATATCCTCCGAATAACGGCCACATATTATGGCGGCCAAAAAAAAAAAAATCACCATGACAGGGCCTCAGTCACATGTAAATTGTGGACTTCCAGCGAATAAAATTGCAGACTGGCGACTATACCACCACCGCTGAATGTATCTCCTGTGCCGCTACGTGCGGCACGGAGCGGGACTAGACTAGATTGCTGGGACTCACGAGCAGCAGCTTCCGCATCTCCTGTAGCTTTGCTCATGAGTCCCAGCAATCTAGTTCAGCTATGCGCAGCACCGGAGATACTCTCGGCGGTGACGGTATAGTCGCCGGAAGTCCGCAATTTACATGTGACTGAGGCCCTGTTTTTGGCCGCCATAATCTGGGGCCCTGTTTTTGGCCACCATAATATGTGTGGCCGTTATTCAGAGGATAGCCTAATTTCCTACTCTATGTTATTATTTCTAGATTGTTACCTTGAATGAGAATTTTCTCGTCATCAATATTCCGCAATTTTGGAAGCTTACCTTTAAAGCGTTACTGAAGGTTATATCAGGCTAACTAAAGAAACCAAATCAGTAGAGAAGAAAGGGGAAATGTTCAAAAGGCATAAAGAGAAACATGTGGAATGGTAAAAAAGGCAAGAACAAGATCACTAATACCATAGTGGAACGAGGAAATAAAAACAGAAGAAGGAGAACAAATGTAGATACCAGGTGTGGGCAAAAAGTAATAATCAAGATGATCCTCTAGAAAACAGAGCGGCAGGAACGATAACCAGAGATGTTGTCAAAAACGCCAAAGAAATATCATGGCAGACGAAATCCAGCAAAATGTTGAACGCTGGCCAAAAAAAGTGCTACAAAAAAATCTGTATAAGCAAATTAAAGTTGTGAGAGGTAGAAACGAACAAACTGACCCAACAGAAATTATAAATGACAAGACGGGAGTACCCACAAACCAGGAAAGGTCCTAGAGAGATCTGGTAATCTTAGTTTCAGCTTCACAGCAAAAGGATCACCCCCTAGTTGCTCCGCTCCTGTGCCAACAAAAAACACACAGAATGTTTATCACAGTCCCTTGTGAAAAGATTAACAGACTTCTGTATCAGCATATGCACTAGCATACGCATGCATTAAAAGCATGCGGCAGCCATCCGAAGTACTAACGCAAACAGTCCGACATTAGAAATGCAGTTCATCATGGATGGTAGCAGAAGTCACCAACAGATCAGCAGTTGCACACGTGATAAATTTTAATCAGATAATGGCACCACCAATATTGCCACAACAGGCCACGCATCATTTTCTGAATCTACAATTCTCACCACCACGTTGGTCCCAGTCGAAAAACATTCTAAATTAAATCTGCAGCTCACACTGTCACGCCATGCACTCAGCTCAGAATCTGGACGACGAAACAATATCCTTTTAGTCTACAAATGGAGCAAAAATGCAACGGCCACTGTCTGACGGAAGCAAAATATTTGCCACGGCTCAAAACAGTGGCTGTACCTAACATCTATTTTGACCGGAAGTCCTAGAGAGATGGTGTCAATATTATAATGATTTACTTAATTTACAATCAGAGTAACAATCCAAAAGACAAGACAAGAATAGCTTTGAAAATGAAAATTTAAGACCAAGCATAACACTCACAGAAATCAGAAAAGCTGTAAAAGAGGCGCCTTCCAATAAACCACGAGGCCCTGACGATTTATCTGCTGAATTTCTCAAAGCAACGGAAGTGGTAGGCATAAAATGGATGCACAGACTGTTCAACCTAGCCTGGGCAATACAAGAAACACCGGAGGACTGGAGAATCGCAATAATAGTACCCATCTGGAAGAACAAAGACTGAGAGACTGTGAGAAGTATAGAGCAGTTTCATTATTGAGCCACACCAGGAAAATAATTTGTAAGATCCTTAAAAACAGTCTATGACCTATCATCAAGCTACAGCATAGTGGAGGGCAAATGGGATTTCAGAAGAACAGAAGTTGTACTGATGCAATATTCAGACAGGCAGTTAATGGAAAACATGATAGAATTCAATAGAGAATCACACATCGGATTTGTAGACCAAAAGAAACATTTTGATGGAGTTAAATAGGAATAAATTATGGAAGGTACTTCAGCATTACAGAGGAAATGAACACCTTTTTAAATCGTGCAAGTTTATATGTGAACAGTGAATGTGCAATTAGAACAAAAGTACACAAAGCAAACTTTATAAAACACTCAAATTACTCGTAATTTTGTAGCAGTGTAACATTATAGAGGGAACAGCACTAGAACTGCCACTAAATAAAATGTCCTTTTTTTTCACTAAAATTTGTTCTCTTTTTTTGCAGCTGGCTTTGTTATAATTTTAGGTTTTGCATGTGTACATTAGAGCTATCCTTATCAAAATTTGACTCTATAAATGACCTAAGCAAGTTTGCTTTGCTACTTTCTTCATCTGACTTCTGATAAATATTATCCTTTCACTGTTTTATTTAAATTTGAGCTTCTAAAGCCATAAATCTTGTTTTTGTGCATGAAGAATATTGCTCGGGGACCATGATGTTTTCAAAGAAACACATAGTGACTCTGTAAAGTTTACAAACATACTATATTTAATGCTTTTAACTATGTGAGAGCCTAGCATATGATACTACAACATCCAGCTTAAGGATGGAGGTGGAGGCGGTCACTGCAGCTTTCCGCTGGCTAGAGAATATGACACACACACACACATCGTGATTGTAACTGATTCAGAAAGCATGCTGAGGTTGATCAAAACAGGTATGCTTCGTGCAGAGTGGCATGCGTCGCTGCGTAGGACAAGAGTGAGGAGTATTGTCTGGATTTTTTTACCGGGTCACACCGGTGTGTTGGGAAATGAACAGGCAGACAGACTGGCTGGCTATGCACAACTTGGTGGAATACTGCTACATGATAGGGCAGACACGGTTAGTGCCTTGTGGGAGAGCATGTACAATTCGGAGGAGCAGATGGATCACCACAGTCTGGTGAGATTGATGCAGTGGGGGTGACAAGAGGTTCTGGCAAATGCTCGAGGCTCAGAGGAAAGGCAATACGGACGTTTAATCAGAAGGCTACTGGCACCATTAGTATTGGAACTCTTCGCTGGCTGCTGAAGATGGGGACGAAGCGCTTATGGGAATGCCCCGTGTGCTGTAATGTCGGTTCTTGAATCAAATCAAATCAAACTATGTTTCTGAATAAACCTAATACCTGTGTTATGGATTTACAACAGATATGAAAGACCATTCAAAGTTAAAGATTCTTGTTTTTTTAACTGCCAGTTGGTAAATGTAAAAGAAAAAAAGGTTAATAAATTGGCACATCTTGCATTCGATGGGCTTGTAGGTATGAGCCTACAAATGTGTGATGCATTTCTTAGGAATGAAAGAATTAGGGAATATATTAGCATAACTGTATTCATGTTTTTATGTGTATATTTTCAGCTTAAAGAAAGCAGTTGCTTTAATTAATGAACTGGACATCAACAGATTCCCTTTACTCTTGTCAAAGATCTTACAGAAGCTACATGTCCAGGTAAACTGCCAGTGTAATGCCAAATATGCCAAGCTATTTATTACTTGTCTGTTTTGTGACTATTTGAATTTATTAATAGCATCAAAATATGGTATATTTCTTAATGATATGTCAACTTGTTGGTTTCATCTGTTATGGGAACTAATTTTTGAGTTTTCTTGTGTAACAAAACGTCGGCTCTGTGGCTAAGTCGATGTGAACACATCGTTATGCTGGATGCCGGGTTCGATCTCAGCTGCGGGCCATGCACCTTGCGTTGGTTTTGACACTGGTATCAAGAGAGCCGACCGTCCAGAAAGCAATGGCAAACTACTGGATGTAAATTTGCCTAGAAAAACCACACAACAGCCAGGACCTGTTGGGGTTGGTTCTGCAATGGCCTGTAAAGGATACGCAACTAACCTTGTGTAACAAAACAGGCCATAGATGCCATGTCTGCCACAGCAAATATCTTAAGTTTATTCCAGGGTCGAAATTCTGAAAATTAGGATCATCACAGGTCAGAGCCCCAGCGTAGACAGATTGTTAAAACAAAAAACAGGCAATGATCCGTAGGCCACATGCTAGGCCTGCAGGGACCACCAGTTGAGTGTCTTAATTTGTGATACAAACTGTTTCCATAGCACACTGATTATACACATGTCATTCTTTTCCTCTCTTGTATCCTTCCTTGATGGGTATACTATTAACTCCATGTTTACAAATTTTTACACATGTTATTTCATCTAAACTCATGCCTTCCATCAGCATCTGTTTTATAAATGGTCATCAGAATGTGTCCTTGGTCCAGTATGAGTATTCCTATAGCTATCACTTTTATAGCCCAAAATATCCAGTTTAATTCCTTCCTATTTCCAGACAGTGTATCCACATGAGTCAGTGAAATGTTGACGTGGGAATTTAATTTAATTATGGGAACAGATACTTTCATCTGTTCAGCCAAATAAGATTAATGAGTAAACAAGTGGCGTCAAAAGCTATGTTTATTAACGTCTGCTGATATTTTGTATCATAAAGTCATTAACTGCTATTTACTGCCTGTATATACTATTTTTACGGCGAAGTATCATTTTTTTTCTTTTTAGCCTAAGGATATAGGGCTACATTGTAGTGCTGTCACCATGGACTCCAGTTTAGGATTTTATTTTTGCACCTGACAGAAAAATGTTATGACCCTACCGAGGATTTGAACCTGGGGCTCCCACATAAAAAACAGGCGTTTTGAGCCATCGGGCGGCTTCTGCTCCATAAAATAATCAACAACCGCTGTCTTCGTAAGCAAGCCAGCTAACCACTATGCCACTTCAGCTGTTACTGTCAACATCCAGTCTGTGAAAAAAGGTACTCCTTTGTTCAACATTTGCTGTTTTTTTTTATTGTCATTAGGAGGAACGTACATTTTCTGAGGAAGAGGAAGAAAAACTACAAAGTGCATTTAGTATGTCTTCCAGTGACCTAGAGCTTGTCCTGCAGACTTTGGAGTTTATACTTCAGCAGGTTAGAAGTGTGGCTTGTCGTAGAGTATTTAACTCTAACTGTATCAGAAGTGTTACATGTCTTAGAATATTTAACTCTAACTGTATCATAAGTGTTACATGTCTTAGAGTATTTAACTTTGTATCATAAGTGTTACATGTCTTAGAGTATTTAACTCTAACTGTATCAGAAGTGTTACATGTTTTAGAATATTTAACTCTGTGTCAGAATTGTTACATGTCTTATAATATTTAACTCTGACTGTATCAGAAAAGTCATTTATCTTAGATATTAAACTCTAAATTTTGTCATAAATGTGAGCCGCCGTGGTGTTGCAGCTAGACGCTTGCCCGGGGAGCCGCCGTGGTGTTGCAGCTAGACACTTGCCCGGGGAGCCGCCGTGGTGTTGCAGCTAGACGCTTGCTCGGGGAGCCGCCGTGGTGTTGCAGCTAGACGCTCACCCATGGATTGGAAGATCATGGGTTCAGGTCCAGACAGAGTCCGACTGTTTTAAAAATGACCTTGACTCCCAGGTTGACCCAGCCTTAAATGGGTACCAGGTACAGTCCTGCAATGTAAAGGCAGAACATGGGTGAGGAAGACAAACACAGCATGGACTGTAAGAAAGGCACATTGCAATTACTTGAACTAGCAGCCTTTATTCCTCAACCGGGGGGGGGGGCAACTCGTCCAGTAGTGCCAAAAATAGTTTGTACTATTGTTGAGTACTGTTGTCTCATCTCATCTCATCTGGACCCTCTGGTACCTTGTGGTATTGAGGTGAAGTATTATTTAAGGGTTAAGTGTCCGTTTGAGCAAGAGTACTGTTGCATACATGTTAAACATGGACTTTGGCAGACAAGCTGAGATATATCCAAAAGCTGCAGGTATGTGGTTTCTAAGAGATGTACAAAGAATATCATGAACAAAATGAAAAATTCACTGAGAAACATTTAAAATGGGTGATAAAGCGAATTTTCTTTACATTTGTTGTTTGTATGAAGTTTAGTGGTATGTGAGAGAAAGGAAACTAAAAATGATCAAAATGAACATATCTTCAAAGCGTAACACTGTTACCCAGAGAAGCGACTGTTCGTCGGACTGTCCAAGGGACAGGACGTGTTTTCTCGCTCCCATCATTTTAGATTTTTTAAGCCCTGTTGCATTGGATATCTGAGGATAATTTTTATATCACTGTGACCGTTGTTCCGTCGGGCTTACTGTGAAATAGTTTTTGTGTGACTTTGTAGATCAATATTCGTTAAAAATGGAATATAGTGTATTATAATAGGTTTTCAGCAACGGAAGCTTCTGTTGCCAACGGGGCACAAACAGGCCCAATTGTGTTTCACCTGGCCCCATGGATTTATGGCATTTTAGACAGTAATTGTCCTGTGGGCGTACACACGGTGGCATACAACCGGACTGGTGAAGCGCTGCCACGCCAACACAGGATGCCGTTAAAAATTTAATTAGGTATTTTCCCCGGGTAGGTGGGACTCGATAGCTGGGGACAGCAGCCCACCTATGAGAAGGATACTCTGAAACTAAACTACCACTGCCCGGTGGTCAGGCCTTGGTTGGTTACGGGCTAAGGAAGCACATCCTAAAAGAAAAGCACGTTGAAGACGGAGACGCCAGGTCGAAAGGCACAGATAGTGTGGGAGAATATTTTCCCACAAACATGACGTCACGCATACCTTCTTGAATGTCAGAAAACCCTAGCAGGAATGAAGACTGTGGTGTTTAATCTTTAACACTTCAGTGAAACATATCACGGTGAGCCCTACCTTAAAAGTGGCAACTGTACAACGTCACCACTCGCAAAGCTAGAAAAACAGCCTAGATTATAAATCTATCAGAGGGACAAGATGGACGAAGAAGACGTGTGCGCTCTGAGGATTCTACAATGGAATGCAGAGGGAGTCCGCAACAAAAAAGCTGCACTTACAAAACATCTTACAGAAGGAAATATTGATATTGCCTGTATACAGGAGACACACCTGTCAGAAAAGCACAGATTCTGTATTAGAAGCTTCCAGTGCTTCAGACAGGACAGAGAAAATGGTCCCAAGGGAGGAGTCCTCATCCTTGTAAAAAGCAGCATCCCAGCAGCTAGTCTTACAGTGGACACAAAACAGGAGTCTGAGATCATGGGTGTCAGGCTTAACATTGCAGGCAAGGAAATTGTGTTATACAATTGTTACTGCCCGCCAAGCAAAGAACTCTCATGATACAACATGAGAATCCCAGATGACAACTGTATCGTTCTAGGAGATTTTAACAGCTGCTCTCCAAGCTGGGGATATTCACAGCTCAACGACAGAGGAGAAGAAGTGGAGGACTGGCAGACATATGCCAGACTCCAGCTAATCAACAAACCAGATGACTCCCCATCTTTTTTTCTCCAGGAGATGGCTTTCAACCAGCCGCCCAGACTTAACATTTGCCACGTTAGACTTAGCAAGCAACATACATAAAATGGTGCTCAGCCAACTAGCAGGTAGTGACCACCGACTGATCCTGATTTCTGTTCTAAATATGAGAGGCCTTCATTCGATGCCGCCCCCTCGTTGGAATTACAAGAAAGCTGACTGGAACAGTTTTGCTAACCTTGCTGATGTATACTCGATAAATGTAAACGGCAAATCAAGTCAGGTTGCTAAATCAGTAAAAGAGTTTACAGAAGCTATATTAAAAGCAGCCAAAGAAACCATACCTCGGGGTTCAAGGAAAGATTACATCCCATTTTGGTCCCAACAAATTCAAGACCTCCACCAAACTCTCAGAAGCAAGAGATAGAGTAGAAAGCAACCCAACGGTAGAAAACAACATTGCTTACAAAGCAGCAGAAGCTAAGCTAAAAAAAGAAACACTTCAAGCAACTAGGAAGAGCTGGCAAGACAAAACCAAGAGCCTAAGTTTTGAAAAAGATGGGTCCAAACTCTGGAAACTAGTCAAGTGTCTAAATGGAGAAGCCCAACAAGCCAATCCAATAGTAATAAATGAGGGCAATGAGATCAGATCTGGAAACGATGCTGCAAATATCCTTTTAAATCAGTTTAAATCTGTTAGTGATATTAATATAGAAAAGTCCAGAGAAGATGAGGTAGTACAAAGAATAAAAGAACTCGAGGAGGCCAGCAAGAGTAAACCAGCAGAGAGCATCATGACAGATAAATTCTCAATGAGTGAACTTAACACAGGACTTAACCAGCTGAAATCCAACCAAGCCCCTGGCCCCGATAAAATCACGAATGATATGTTACTACACATGGGTCTAAGTGCCAAAAAGAAATTATTAAACATCTTTAATGCCAGCTGGATTTTTAGTATAGTTCCTCCAGCCTGGAGGAAGTCTGAAATCTTCGTAATCCTGAAACAAGGAAAGCCGAAGAACAACGCAGACAGCTACAGACCCATCAGCCTCACTAGCTGTGTGTGCAAACTATTTGAAAGATTTTTGAACAACCGACTGACCTGGTTCCTAGAGAAAAACGTCAAACTAATGGAGGAACAGGCAGGTTTTCGACGTTGTAGATCAACAGAAGACCAAATTACATTTATTGCTCAACACATTGAAGATGCTTTCCAAGAAAACAAGCACACTATTCCAGTCTGGGTGGATATGGAAAAGGCCTTCGACAAAGTGTGGAAAAATGGGCTGAAACAAAAGCTACTTGAAAATGGAATATCCCATCACATGCTTGGGTGGATCGTAAAATATCTTGAAAATTGATCTGCAAGAGTCAAGATACAGGGTTCAAGGAGCAGATCAGTCTCAATGACACATGGAGTTCCACAAGGCGGAGTTCTGTCCCCAATTTTTTTCCTAGTTTACATTAACGACATAAAATCAACCCTCTGTAATGGAGTTCAAGCCGTTATGTATGCCGATGATCTGGCGCTACTGAGTTCAGAGGAGGACACTGAAAAACACAGACAAGGCTTCAAGAATCCCTAGGAACTCTAGAGAGGTGGTCCAATAGCTGGTACATGCCTGTAAATGGGGCCAAAACCACACACACCATTTTCAGTCTCTCTACCAAACCCCAGAAAGTTTCACTTAGATATGGCAGCCAGGCACTGATACATGATGACTCACCGTCATATTTAGGAGTAACCTTTGACTCAAGACTCACATGGAGAAAACAGATAGAAAAGACACAGAGCAAGGGACTCAAGAGAACACAACTGATGAGGAAGTTAGCTGGAACAGACTGGGGGGCAAACCTCAATGTCCTTAAGAGGACCTATACAGGCTATGTGAGGCCAACACTAGAATATGGAATAGCTGCTTGGGGCACAGCAGCTAAATCAAATTTTCAGAAAGTCTCAAAGATCCAAAACCATGCTCTCCGTATTATGACAGGGGCAATGCGCTCCACGCCCATATCAGATATGGAAACAATTACTGGTCTCCATAATCTGGAAGATAGGAGAGACACAAAGATCCTCACCCAGCTCTCCAAATACCACCACTTTCAAGAACAACCCATGTACAGCCGACTACAGAAACCCCAGAAGGCTAGACTAAAGAGAACTTGCTTTATTAAGAACGCAAATGCCAAGCTCGCTGTCCTTAAACTCCCTCCCATAATACCAAATGTTCCACTTAAACCTTACAACGACTTCCCCGCTTGGCTTAGGGATAGCCTACCAACAGTCAGAACCACTGTAACAGGGGTCTCCTCCAAATCATCAATGAGCAGCACTGATATGAAATCAACTACAGAAGGAGAGATCAATAGACTTTACCCACACCAGAGTTGGATTCGAGTGTATACAGATGGTTCAGCCAAGAGAGCAGTAAGAGACGGAGGAGGAGGAATATACATAGAATGCCCAAATGGTTTAAAAATCAACCAGGCTGTACCAACAGGTTCATATTCCTCCAATTACAGAGCAGAGGCAGAAGCACTTCTAGCAGCATGTTCTTTCCTGAATGGACAACAGCACAGCAAATATAGCAGAGTGGTCTTTCTGACTGATGCTATGTCAGTTCTACAAGCAATTGTTAACCCAAAAGACACTCAGTTTGTAGACTTGACGCAACAGCTGATTTACTTAGGCTCTTCAGTAGAACAATCTGTACTGCAGTGGATTCCAGGTCACTGTGGCTTGGAAGGCAATGAAATAGCGGACAGATTGGCCAGAAGCGGCAGTGACATGGTACAACCAAATAGCGACTTAACCCACCAAGAGATGAAAACACTAATACAATCTAGTATCCAAGAAAGGTGGCTGGATACCCACACCAGATTTTCTCCCCAAGACTCACTTCATCGCCTCTCTAGAGAGGGACAGTCTATTATATTCAGACTAAGGACAGGGCACAACAGATTTCGTCAACATATGTTCAAATTTTTCGGTGTAGGAAATTCGGAGACGTGTCCCTGCAGCGTGGCACCCGAAAATGCTGAGCATGTGCTCCAACACTGTCAACTGTATGCTGACAACAGAGACGCAATCTGGCCTGTTCCAACCACAATGAAGACAAAACTGTATGGTACACAAGAGGATATGGATTGCACGATAGCTTTCATAAAGGCTACCGGCCTCCTGATATAAGTTTTCTGACAGAAGGATCGAAGAAGAAGAAGAAGACCCAGAGAAGCTGCAATACAACACTTCTGGTTATGTCCAATTTCCTATCAATGTCACATTTCTGACTTGGTTGTAGTGGCTTGATTTTGAGAAACATAGTTACCAGTAGAGGTATTTTATGCACCTGCTCAAACATTTAGGGGGGACTGGAATCGATTATATTTATCATTGGGAAAGAGATGGTTCTTGTGAAAAGTGGCTTTTAGCATTGGGGAGGAGGTGGTTCTTGTAAAAAGTGGCTTTTTTAACAGAAATTATGACATCATATTTTCTCAATGTTACAAGTGGTTACTTGGTGACAGGGTTAACTGGTCAAGTGTGAGTCTCAATATACATCTATTTATAGTCAAATAAAGTTGTCAGTTAATTCTCTGCCACATTTGTGTTTACTGATAAGTTCTCTTATTCTTATGAAAATTAGTTTTGTTTTCCTCTATAAATGGAATTGTTAGAATTTTGTACAGGTCTTTGGCATTGTTTGATTTTCTTTTGTAGGTCACTGCTGTGAAAGGGTTAAGTTATATGTGTGACCAGGTTTAGTTAGAGTTACTGAGAGGTTTGTTGGGTAAAGGCTGTTGCAGTTTAACTCTTGTTGTTTGTTTCAGGCTGCTTATCATACAGCAAAACCAGCTGTGCTAGGGGATCAGTTGAGGCAGTTGGACCTTCACGAGGACAAGGTAAGTTATAACTCATTCTCTAGCAAGCACATCACATTCTCCTTGTTTGTCAGACTAGTTTGTTTTCTTAATGCCTTAGCTGCCAGTATCTTGTTTGTCTTTGAGGCATTGGGAAATGCTTCATTGGAAAGAAAAGACTCTAGTTGGAAGAACTATTCACAGCTGTGAAACATGACATTTCGGTGTATTTATAGTAAGGCAGAGAGATATACCTAGCAGGAATAGCAAAGCAGCAAAACTATTTTCTGCTTTCATTGGTTAACTAGTTAATTCGGAATCATCATCATAGCACTGCTGGAAAACCCGTCTCATTCTCCAAATGTTGTGTGCTCTAGGTGCTGACTGCTTTAGTAACACACTGATTGTAAACTCTTAAAATTCATCCCCTCATACATCCCCCACCATTTAAGCATTTGAATAAATGAATGAATGAATCAAGAATTGACATCACTGCACTCAAGACACACGCACACCCACACATGCTTTATCTTCATCCTCGTAACCAGCCAAGAGTCGCAAGCTCACAGTACCAGTTGAAACATTTATCTCTCTCTGCTGGAACTATGCTTAAATCCAAATTCAAATATATGTAACCCTCTTGCTCTGAGAAGCTGCAAAACCGACACTTCTAGTTAGGTCCAATTTCCCTTAAATGTCACTTTTCTGACTAGTCTAGAGTAATTTGTTTAAAAGATGATAATAGATAATGCTATTGGCCCAGGGTAAAGGCAGCACAAATGGGCTCACTTGAGGGCAGAATAGTAACTAAAAATGGCATCTTAGGCGATCTTCCTGTAGACCAAATAGATTTTTTTTTTTAAAGCCAAGTTGAAGTCAAATTTGCTCATAAGCTTCAGTGATAAAGGTAGACAAGACAATGCAGGAACATACTATGAGAAGAAAAGAGCCATCCAGTCTATCAGAAGTGAACAGAATCTGGCCAAAGATGACTACAACTTACTTGACTGGCATGGGCAGGTCATTATTCAAAGCTTCAGGAGGGGACATAACGAACTTAACAAGCATCTGTTAATCTGAGTTTCAGCTTCATAGCAAACGGGTCACTCCATAGTTGCTCTGCTCCTGTGCCAACTAGAAACACATAGAATTTTTATCAAAATCCCTTGTGGAAAGATTGACAGACTGCTGTCTCAGCATATGCACTAGCATACACATGCATTAAAAGCATACAGTAGCCGTCCGAAGTGCTAACACAAACAGTCCGATATTAGAAATGCAGTTCATCATGGATGGTAGCAGAAGTCACCAACAGATCAGCATTTGCACACGCAATCAATTTTAATCACATAAGGGCACCACCAACATTTTGACAACAGGCATTGCGCCATTTTCTGAATCTACAGTTCACACCACCACATTGGTCACAGTAGAAAAGAGCAGCTCACAGTGTAACACCATGCACTCAACTCAGAAGCTGGGCAACAAAACTATCCTTTCAGTCTACAAATGGAGCAAAAATGCACCGGCCACCATCCGTCAGAAGCAAACAATTTGCCACAGCTCACAACAGTGACCGTGCCTAGCGTCCATTTTGACCGGAAGTAACAAGCATATGCACAGGCTTCGTCTAAGCAGTTCACGATTGTGCCCATGTGGGCTATGTGTCCAAACCGCAGAACATGTCCTGCAGGAATGTTCCTTGTACAGTCCATAAAGAAGGGAATACTTTCCCACTAAGGTTGTATGGAACTAAAAGGGAACTCCTAAAAAATAGTCAAGTTAATCAATCACAAAAACTCATCAGTTGATGTAAATCACAAAGCAAACACAAGAAGAAGTGACAGAGGTCACAGAATGAGTCCCCCGATACGTCTGTTTTTTGAAGGCCCTGTGAAAAATATTTCATTTAATGCTTCACTGTTTGTGTTTATTGATTCCGGTTCTTTTTGAGAAAAAAATTAAAAGGTCGACCATTTTCAGACTGCTGCTAGCTAGCCGAGGCTGCTAACAGTCTCCGCCTATATTTTTTGGTCTTTGTTATTTGCGTCACTTTCGTGACTAAATTTATGTTATTTGCACCGTTTCTGAGCTTAATGCTTCCTTCCAATTCAGACCGTTCGTCCTCCACCCTGTTGTTAGCCGTGCCTTTCTTTCGTTTTCTTACTTAGTGTTTCCTCTTGGTGTCATCTCTCTCTGATTGGGCCAGGCGTATTTTGTAGGAGAGCGAGCTTTTCTACACAACGTCCTTAGGACCACCAATTATAGTTTTAAAATTTTGAGTATTTTACTTTGCCAAAAAGTACTGAAAACAGTTTTTAATTTTGGATAGTTCCGAAATGTGAAAATATTCCGTGTGTGACCAATGACACCAATTCTTCTGTTATTGTTTTGGCTTCAAACAGTTCAATATTTTTATTAATACTTTTCATCAGACTCATGTCTATCCTAGGCAGTTGTCTCCATGGAGGGATTTGAGGGATAAACCCAACGCTTGCCTCTAGAGTCATAGCTAAGTCCTCATTATCGTTAATTTCTAGTGCAGCATCCCAGGCTGCTGGTCTCAGTATATCTCTGATCAGTTTGTCACCTAGGTGGGTAATGTTATGATGAAAAGCGTCTGAGGCTGGGTGTCTGGCATCATTTGCTGCTTTCATCCAATAGCTATAATTTAAATGCTTACTTCTGAGGTTAAGCGGTGTGACGCCTAGTGCTACCTCTATAGCCTCTCTCAATGTCCCTTTGCCAGCGCCCATGATGGAAGTCAGAGCATGGCATTGAATACTATCAAGGTTGCATTTGGTGTTCTATGATGTGGATTCGTATACTACGCTTCCATATTCCATTTTGCTTCTAACGAATGCTTAATAAAATTATATTAAGGTGTCCGGGTGTGCTCCCCATCCGTTTCCTTTAATCAATCTCAACATTTTATTGTACTTTTTGCACTTTACTACCAGTTCATCGATGTGCTTAGCCCAGGTCATTTGCTCATCCAGAATCATTCCTAGGAATTTCGTGGAACGTGTCCATTGAACTGTTCTAGCGTAAATTTGGAGTCTCGTTTCTTCAGGGTCATAATTAAGCTGTCTTTTAAAGTTAAATATCATGCTTACTGTTGTGTCGATGTTGATTTTAAATCCCCATTTTCCCATCCAATTTGCCACTTAATTTAGACTTTTCCTTAGTCTTTTCTTAGCGCAGGGTATCTGATTATGGCTGTGGTAGATTGCACAATCGTCTGCAAATTGCGTTAGTCCTGTTTCCTTGTTCGTAATGGCTTCATCAAGGTCGTTTACTAATATACTGAACAGGGTAGGGGATATTACCGCACCCTGAGGAATTTCATTCACCTGATCGTAAGTTTGTGATCTTTTGTTATTTACTAGTACTGAAAATGTTCTATCTTGCAGAAAAAATGTTCTATCTTGCAGAAAGCTTCGGATATATCTATAGGTTCTTCCTGTGAATCCTAATTTAGCTGCTTTAAACAAGGCTGCGTTTATTGATTACTCCTTTTAGATCTTAACCCCCCACCCCCCCCCCCCCCTTTTTTTCCCCACCTTCCAGTTTAGAAATGTAGATAAATTAGTTTTTAAAAATTTCTTTACTGACCTGTATAAAATTGTTTTTAACAGTTTTTCATTGTTGCAAAAAATGTGAATTGGGTCATGAACTATTTTGTTAAAGCTTTTCTGATAAATATGTTGTTATTTTTATTCTTATCACTGCTGTCACTTTGTTTTTTTTTAATTCAGCAATTGATGTTGTTATGTTTTTCAACTTTTACTTTATTCAGGTGAACAAAATAGTTGAAGCTTGGACTGCTGGGGCCCGAGACCTGGTTCAGAAACTAAGGGAACGAACAGTTCATCCTAATCAGGTATGTGTACACGTTTTATTCAGTTTGAAATACCTCACTTAGTTCTTGTCTTGTTACAGCCTCAGCAAAACATACGAAAATTAATTGAAAATAATGTTTTTGTGTTGTTAATACAAATAATGCAGACACAAGCAGATCTATCATAATTAAATGCAAGGTTGAAGAGAAATTATAAGACTAAAAAATTTGACAGATGGGCTCATTTTTTACCCTAAAAATATGAATAGAAAGCTTAATTGATTATTATAAGACTTAAAGATTAAAATTAGAAACATATTCCAGCACATCTGGACACTGATAGACTTGTTTGAACAATTTTTGTCCAGTACCTCAAGAAAGACATGTTATGGCTTTTATTTGGAAATAAAAGTGTGCAGCGTGAAACAAAACCCCAGCTTCAAGCCAGCAGATGTGACATCTTAGATTTGACATCTATCAGTGAACTAAAAATTGTGTTTCAAAACAAGTCTGCTATATAAATGGAGCTTGATACTCCGCCTGTATAGCTACACACACACACACATGCACACACGCACGTACGCACGCACACACACACCCACACAAAATAAATTTTAAAAATTTTGTAATATCCTACCCCAGATGACGTCACAGGACAGTCCATCATTTTAGAGGGTGGTAACACTGGGTGTCCCGGTTTTCTGATGTTTTTAACGACCCCAAAACATCTAGAACTGGCCCTAACCCCAACCCACCTACATCTCACAAGAGAGTGCAGTTTAGGTCCCACGACTGCATGCAGCCTGGGTCCCAGGACTGCATGCAGCCTATCTACCACCCCTGAATTATTAGACTGTCCCGTGACCTATAAACTTTCCCTGTTAGGGATAGTATATTAAGAAAGCACCGAATGTGCTTAGATGCAGATCCACATATTTATTTTCAGTTGTCATCAGTTTAACCTGAAATAAGAAAACTGCTAAACAGTGTGATCACATGTTTTAAGCATTTATTTGTTATTTTATGGACAGTGTAAAATCTGTTGTTAGGCAAACGATTTATTGAATTTTGGAAGAACTTTTGTATGACCAGGTTTTGACAATATGATTATTGGTGGTAGTTGAGAATAAATTGACTACTGTGATACATTTCAGAGTTTTAATATATATAATTCTGTTTCATAAACATTGCTCAGTTGTTTAGGTATCTCTTTACTTCAAATTCCCTTCCTATCGACCCCTCTCCCCTTGCTGTGTAATATTATTTTTAAACATCAATAATTATTAGAAGACGGGTAGGCCTAAGAGAAATTGATTCTGAAGAGAGCTTTGGGACACAAAATAGTTGGGAAATGCAAACCTGTGCTACAGCGATGGCATATGATGATGGTGATGATGATAATGATGACAATGATCTTATCCACAACATATGTTATGGTGTCTTTTCCATTGATTTGAAAATCATTAGGCAATTGTATAATGTATCTATCATCTTCTTCTTTTGTCAAAATCTGCTTGTGCCGCTGGTCGTCGCAGTCTATCAGATGATCTGCAATCGAGCCAGGGCGCGCTCAGTCGCTTCATATGCCGTGATGTTATGAAGTCTCAAGTTGTCCATGACTCCTTCAATCCATCTTCTTCTTGGTCTTCCCCTGCCTCTTGGTGTTTCGATTTTCATGTTGTATGCTCTTGATGCTGGCATCGTTGGTTCCATTCTCATTAGGTGACCAAACCATTTCATTATTTGCTTCTCAATAAATTTAACGATGGGTATGGTTCCAATAGTTCTTGTAATCACATCGTTTCTCACTCTATCTCTTCTGGTTTTATTCGCAGCCATTCTCAAACATCTCATTTCACAGGTGGTTAGTCTTCTCTCGTGTTGTTCTGTTAATGTCCAAGTCTGACATTGATAACCTAATGTCGGTATAAAGATTGTATTTATAATTTGTCTCTTTATCTCAGCTGGGACAGCAGGGTGTTTTAAAATTGGGGCAAGCTGGTATCTATCATACTCCATCAAAAACCTTTGTGTAGTAAGATTTGTATGTGCTGATGAAGGCTCAATAGCTGCAACGTTCACGTTTTGTTTGTATTTGTTATATTGTGAAGCTTGCTAATATTCTTTCCGCTCTGTTTTATATCTTTTCGTGTAATCAGTAAAGCAGAGATGATTTTGTTTGACCCTGATAGTGGCACAAAATGATAGACCACGAACAAGAAAGTCCAACTGCTTCTGCAAGACATTGATATAGAGATGAATAGGTTATCCTCATAGGAATGGTGAATCAAAAACAGAGGTTCAGGAAAGACTTGGCATGAATAGAGCAATGTCAAACTGAATAAAAATGAGAATTATCAAATATTTTGGTCACATGATTGTAACAGTCATATATCTTCTTCTTCTTTTTCTTCTTCTTCTTCTTCTTCTTCTTCTTTGTTCACCAGCTGTAAGCTCCAGCGGAAAGTCCTGGTTGTTAATCCATTTGACTCTGGCTTTGTACCAGAGCCTGAGTTTTTCATGTACATCCTTTTTATTGGCTTATTTGTGTTCTCTGCCGCTCAGGCGGATGCCCTTCGACTTCACATTAAACTCCCCATTAGTCAACTCTTACAATATGCTTTAATGGGTAGGCAGTGGGTCTATTCTTGTTTTCTCCATAATGAGGCCTAGTAACCTGCATGGGGAGTAACAGTAATACAGAAGGAGACATTGAAGGTAAAACTGCTAGCGGTTGACAGTGAAACAAGTGGTAGACTCATATGCAGAGGTAGACAAACATTAGTTTGAGAAAGTATACATCTCGAGTGAGAGACAGTGTTGGAATATCCATGACAACCAACCAGCCTTCATTGTTGGGGCGGCACCTGCTTGATTGATTGACATTGTAAGTATCAGGGAGATTATGCGACAGTCTGTGACATAAGGCTTGCTTGAAAGATACAGACATGCACACGTTTGACAGACAGCTTCAGTTCTCAGAAAGACAAGTAGACAAATAAATGTGACTGACAAGCAGGCCTCGTAATTGAGACCCACCTTTGTCCTGCATCTTCTTTCTGTTATTAATCTGTTAGCTTTTTAAATGTATATATATATATATATATATATATACACACACACATACACGCATGCACGCACGCACACACACACACACATACAAATATAGATTTGCTTTTTTTTATACCAGCTGGTGTTTTATTCACCATATCACCCACCAAGTATGGATTGGTCTGTAAAATATAGGTCTAGCCTTATGTGCCCAATACATCTGATGGTGTCTAAAAGGGTCATTTGCGTACTTTAATTTCTCTGTTCTGTGTGGTTTTTTTTTTAAAGTTTCTTTGAATGAAAATTGTAACATGTTAGTCCACATGTAAACAATATGTGCATGAGCGTCATTTATCCTCTCCGAGTTGTTGCCTGAAGGTTTGACACCCTCAGGTCACAAAATATCAGTCTCGATGGCAGACCAACAAAAGGTATCCTAGTCATATACCCCGTTCAGTCTCCAAAGAACTTTTCTTTGGGACACCAGTAATGGCCACTTCAGGCTGATGTAACTTGCGGGTAAGGAAATATTTTCTTCTTTTTTTTTGTCTTAGCATTTAGTGGCTGTAAGCGCCTGCGGAAATTTCCTGTTTTTCATCTATACTGGATTTTGTTCTTCTAGAACTTGATTTTTGCGTGCACACCTTTTTTACAGATCTGGCTAATTTGTGTGTATACTGCTGGTTTCTCGCTTCTCAGGCAGGTGCATTATTAATTCGTAGGAAACATCCCCTTATCAGTCTCCTCAAACGTCATGCTTTTAGCGGTCAGATACCCCGTTCAAACTCTAAAGAAATTATCATTGGGATACCAGTAACGATCACACTGCATAATGTTAGTCCCGATGGCTGACCAACACGGTGTATCTTAGTCATATACCCCGTTCAGTCTCTTATCTCCGGTGTAACCTGCAATCCCTGCAGGTAAGGATACCTCTCTTTTTTTTTCTTCTTCTTCTTAGCTTTCAACATCTGTAAACTCTTACGGAAAGTTCATGTTGTTCGTCCTGCATGCACCTGCTTGTTACAAATCTGGCTTATTTGTATGCACACTGTTGATTTCTTGCCTCTTAAAATTCTGAATTCGAAAAAAATCACCCCTTAATCAGTCGCCTCAAACAACATGCTTTTAACGTGGCAGTGGATCTATACTTCCCACCCCGTCCCATTCCACGAGGCCCTGAAACCCACACAGAAAGGTCATGATACCAAATGGATGCGTGGGAGAGTATAGTTTCCATTAGCCTTGCCATCAAACCTTTTCCCGCGCACAGAGTTCCTGCATTCCCGTTATACGTGATTTAAAATGTCCGTGTATGTGCATGACGTAGTCTGATTAGCTGGCTGTCACGAAAACTAATCTGGGTTAATTATTAGCACACTCTAGCTCTCTTGACCTGTTGAATTTATCATGCCACTATTGTAGTATACTGATACT